AAAAAAAAATACCTATTGTATTTATTTATCCTTTCTACTATTTTATTTGTGTTAGTACCTGTTTCATTCTTTTACTTATTCTTTTTTCTGTTTGTAAGATAAACACTAAGTTTCTTTAAATTTTTCTTCATTAATAATGAAGTTACTGGGAGTGTATATTTAGGGCAACTTGAATCTATACTCCCAGGAAAAAAAGTTAAAAATAAAATAAAATAATGAAGTCATTTTAAGGCTATAAATTTTCCTCAGAATACAGCTTTAGCTGAATCCTGTGGGAGTTGGATATGAAGGGAATCTACCTTTGCAGTGTTTTATATATAGTTCATAACATCAGACAAGTCTCTTTTACATCCAGAGATTTTTTAAAAGGATTTGTTAACTTCTTTTTTTAATAGGAAACCCTAGTTTGTAGGGGCCTGTTCATTTCAAAATATTTGTCTCTTTTTTACATTTTATTGCTTTCTTAGAATTGTACTGAACTGTAATCAGATTATATGTCCTATTATATCTCTTTATTCAACTTACATTATATTGTGGCCCACTACATGATTATTTTTTGCAACTATTCCATGGGCTTAACTAGATGCAAAATTCTCTCTCTACATATAATTAAATTGAGCTTGCTGTTTGTATTAGTCAATCCCTTTATTCCCATACCTGTTTTTCGGCTACAGATTTGTCTAATTCTGGGATGGCCGTACTGAAGCTTGGGGAAGGGTGAGGGCGGCATTCTGGTCTGGGGCCCATCCTACCTTCCGACCAGTGCCAGAGTCCAGGGACCCCAGGACACGCCTGCTGTACTGCTGGGGGGCGCAGGAGCAGAGACAGGTAGTTGGGGTGGGGGGCAGTCAGTCCGGTTGCCAGGAAGCAGACCCGGACACAATGGGGTCTGGGAGCTGGGCAGGGCAGGAGCAGGGCAGGGCGGGAGTGTGTGTGTCGCGGGGGGGTCCAGTCACCTCGCTTTGTTTTTTGTTTTCCCACACCCGGGGCCACCACAGCAGGTCAGTGAACCCGGTCGCCCGTGCGGGCGCCTCCTCCCACACCCTGTCCCAACGCCACTGAAATACCCTGTTCCCCACAGGCCCAGGGCAACTCCCCCCAGTCTGGGTCTAAACTTGGCGCACCCGAGAACTCAGCCCTGCTGAGCTTGTTTCTGGGGGGGGGGGGCAGAAACCGCGCCCCCCACGCCCCCAGTCGGGAAAGCCACCGTTTGTTTTCCCGGCGCCTGGGATACGGGACGGGCCCCGCCCCCGAGTCGCGCTCATCCCGGGGGACCCGGCAGCGCGCTCCCGGCGCATCTCAGGTGGAGCGGCCCCGCGGCCGCCTTCCGTCCGCAGGTGCTGCAAGCCGTGAGCGCCCACGGCCCGCGCCATGGGCTCGGACATCTGGGTTGGGCCCTGGCGGCCACACCGGCCCCGCGGCCCCATCTCGGCGCACTTCACAGGCCCCGGGCCCAAATACAAGCTGCCCCCGAACACCGGTAGCAGGCGCGGGCTCCGCGGTTGCAGGGGTGGGACGGTGCCGGGGCGGAGAGACCGGGGAGGTCTGCGGCTGGCCCGGGTGTGCGGTGCCGGGTGTGCGGTGCCGGAGCTGCGCGGGCTGAGGGCAGGGGAGGAGCGGGCGGGTCCGTGCTCGGGCGCCGGGACGGAGGAGGGGCCTGAGCGGGGGCCGCGGGCCGTGCGCCCGCCACGGGTGACGCCGGGACGCCCCCGCAGGCTACCTGCTGCACGACCCGTCGCGCCCGCGCGCCCCCGCCTTCACCTTCGGCGCGCGCCTCCCCACGCAGCGGACGACGTGCGGCCCCGGGCCGGGCCACCTGGTGCCCGCACGCACGACCGTGCGCGGCCGGGACGGCGCCCCCGCCTACTCCATCCTGGGCCGGCTGCGCCACTCGGCGCCTTTCCTCACTCCCGGACCCGGTCAGGACCTGGGACCCCGCTCGCCCCCACGCAGAGCTGCCTCCGGGGAGGCCGACTCGGGAATTCCCCACCCGAACCCCGAGGTCCCCTCGGTGCCCCAGCGCCCCATCTTCGGCAGCCCCATTTCCGGATCTCAAGACCCAGAACCCCGATCCCCCCCCACCCCGGGTCTTGACAAATCGCGGCTTCGGTTCCCCCGGACCCCACCGCCGGTTCCCGCCAGGCCCCCGCCCGTCCCCGCCCACAGCCTTGGCTCCCCCGCAGGCAGCTACTTCCCGGAGCGAGCTGGGAACGCGACGTACCCCAGCGCGCCTCGGCACAGCATCGCTCCCCGAAACTGGGGTATCAACGCGGAGCACCAGACCCCAGGTGAGGTCAGGAAGTCAGCACACCGGACCTTCCCGCCCCAGCCCCCGACCGCCCTGCAGGCGCTGGGTCCACCCTGCACTCGCACGGGCGGGGAGCCCCCGCGCCTGTCCGCAGAGACGCACCCCTGCCCCAGCCACCCCTGCGGGCTCCTTCCCAGGTCCCGGGTCCTACACTGTGCCCTCGCTCCTGGGCCCGCGCGTCGTCGGCAAGGTCTCGGCCCCCACGTACTCCATCTACGGCCGCGGCACAGTGGGCAGCTGCTTCGAGGACCTCAGCAAGGTGGGGGAGGGCCCGATGGGCTCAGCATAGCGCGGGGTCAACGGGGAGGACGGCACCTGTGGTCAGCGGGCAATGGAGGCCAGACCGGCACCCCTTCCGCCCTCCGCAGACCCCGGGCCCCTGCGCCTACCACGAGGTGAACCCTGGAGTCTACAAGTCCCGGGCCCCCCAGTTCACGATGCTACCGCGGACTGCAGTTCCCCAAGACAACACTCTCAAGCCTGGGCCCGCAGCCTACAACGTGGACCAGGTGGTCTGGATTCCAGGGTCAAGGGTCGGAGGCGGGGGATGAGGGTCTAAGGTCCGAGGTTTGGGATCAGGGTTCCCGGGGGCACAGGGTCCCAGCGCGTGGCGGGGCGGCTGG